CAGGGCGAATCACAACTTCTACAGATCCTTCAGTGGAATATTGGAAGGATATCACAAAACAAGAAGATTCGAATGCATAAGATCCTGCATACCTATGATATAGATAATATTAACAAGCATGGAAGCCAACCGTACGGATAACAAGCTCAAATGCTACCAATTTCCAGGTTACATCTTATATCTCATACCTAAAGACCGGTAAGTAACAAGTGGAATTTTGACTGGAGTAAAAGAAGGTCTTACATGTCCCCTAGGTGACCTACAGGAGGAAATGGAGAAGACCCACTCGAATCGATCACCAACCCTAAAGACAACGACAGAGACCCAGAGATACTGGGAGGCCAGAAGAAAACTACTGAATTACTATTAACTGTCCTAAAGCCTTAATATATGTTCCTCCCCTCACTCCTTGTGAAAGACGAAGTCATCTAAGGGGCTAATGATAAATATCATAAAGCCTACCATTTGAAATAATAATAATTTTCGTTCAAACGTCTGAAATACAAGCACAGATGGATTGAGTAGAAATTTGGGTGGTCACGTGGTTATATGATTCGTGATGGTGTACCACGTTATTATAAGGGCCAAATGGAAGCAAAAGTGAAGCCCATTTGAATAAAACTGGGGTAATTATTGGCTAATTCTAACTGGTCGATGTGAAAATCAGTATAACATTAGGTTTGATTGACTGATTATTTATTCGAAATTATACTTTGGAAGTGCATAATGTCAAATCATGAAAATGGGTAATAAGTACATTTAAAACAACGATTCCCATTATTTTTGATGCTGTAATTATGTATAAAACATCACATCCTTATGTAAAAGTGAGATGATGTTATGTTTCGGAAATTGGACTTAAATGGAATCACTTTTGTTACGGTTGAAAGGAATTAGAGCCACAGTTGTGAATATTTAATTTAGTGAGCGAAAATGACACCACAACATCAGTAATGTTTTTGTGATAATGTTCATAAAGTGAACCAAATACTTAATTTGGGCTGAAAGCGGTTTTTCGAAGGGGAATGAATGAAAATAGATGCTTTCATTGTTGAATCGATCCATTGGTGCGCATGATTGTATTAGGAGGGGAAACGAAAACGCGTGAGTGGGCCATGAATGATTATTGAAGGACTTGCACATTCCTACAAATTGCAGATGATTAAAGTGAATCTTCTTCCGACTGGATTTCTAAAGAGTAACTCGTTTGTGGGAAGTAACTTTTATGAAGCAATCCGCTTTTTTCTTCTCTTCAACAAAGAGGTCAGTATTATCCACCTCCTGCAACGCTATTTACATTACCAGAAGATGGTGTTCGTGGTGATGACATAATTCTGACCATTACTTCCAGCATTCAAACACGGCTAATAGAATTGATGCTCTTTCATTACACAATATCCTATCGATAAAATTGACCGTTTTTAAGGTACACTTAGTTCGCACTTCCTTCAATAGCCAAGTATTCGTAATTGGATATGTATGAACAACAGAAAATGGCGCAGTCATGAGAAATATTTCACCAAACTTTGTTTTACCCGAAATCCTGTTAGGATTCCGAGTTTTTTTTTAATTAAATGGACACCCAGGATATTTTCGCACTATTTAAAGGTAAATTAATGATATTAACGACTCTATGGATGTTTAATGTTTAAACTGTTGCATCATCCATTTTGAAGACCAACTATTCGGCAACTCTTGGCATTAGGAATATGTTTTTTTACTGCTGAAAAAATGTAAAATATAACAGACTTGAGTGATTTCAGTTTCATTCGTCCATCGCGTTATTGCAATTTAAAAAATAAAATCAAAACAAGATTGGACGGAAACTTCATAATTATGTTATAAGGGAGATGTTGTAGAGTTACTAACCAGAGCTCGTATTTTGTAGCTCTCATCGTGATGCACACACACGAACTATAAGGTCAAACCTGAATGATGAGACCTGAAGAAATATTTCGTCATCCTCAGCCAATCACGTGAACGAATGATGAAGACTTAATTTCGTTTAAGTAAAGCAGTCATAAGCTTTACATTACTAGGATTTCAACTAATTTGTGGAATTTTCGGAGCCTATCTATTAAGTTTAGAGGACAAATGGGACTGGTTAATAATAATTTCCGCTCGAAATATGCCATGGTGAAGATCGATGCTCATTGGTAGGCAACCAACTTTGTGGGGAGACAGCCGCACAGGAGGCTACTTCTGGCCAACAAAAGGTAGTTAATTGGCGATTTTCAAGACAACGACTTCTCCCTACTCACACCACCTTCCTCTTAACGAGTCTGAGAAGTCGCCTTCAAGCAATTTTTCTAACTGTAGGAGCAACTCCCACCCGACAAAACACTGAATTTAACACAAAATTAAGGACATAATTTCCTATTTTTGAACAGAAAGCGTATCGAGGGACCAAAAACTGTCAAGTGAGTTTGATAGAATAATACCATCAACAGCCAATTAAATAATCAGCACTAAAAGATGCTGTAAACTTCTGTTTTAGTCTGCGAGGCCACTGTACTCTCATCGAACGTTCAGCTGCTAACGACCCGTCCAATTAGCTAGCACAATTGTAATAAACACCCGAAATGAAAAGAAAACCATGGAGATATTACTAGCCGGTTTAGTGAAAAGGTTACCGCCTCCCCAAATCTAAAGGTAGTAAGAAGACAGATGGAACATTACCAACTGTTTTTATTAACAATACCGAAAAGGGACTTTTACACAGTTATCAATTGCCCCGAGCTTACAACTCCGATTCCGCCTTCAATGTCTTGGATTCGGTGAACTGCTTGAGACGATCAATCAATGCCTCCACTTTGAGCTCACCCAACACTTTATTGTCACGTGATCGAACGTTCACTGTTCCATTGGTCATTTCCTTCTCACCAACAACTACAAAATGAAAAAATCATTATTAAAACTCAAAATAATAGCGAGCACATCGGTATGCAAGCTGACTTGCGTATACGCTCAATAGAACCTAAACGAGGGGTTTATCTATAGCAAGCAGAATATCTGATTAATCAACAATGAATACGACGCTATCGTAAAAATTGATGATTTTGCCAGAAAATTTCACAAAATCAATAGCGTAGACAGTTAGTCAGATCACAAATAAATAACAGACTGATATTTACTAAAAACAGTGAAAAGCAATGAAACTGTCAATGAGAATCTATACACAAAATTAGTAACTTTTAAACGGACAAAATACGTTGTTCTACATATATAGTTCTGTTCGAAACACAGTAAGCTTTCGGTAAAATAACGGAAACTTGATTTCTCCTTTTTGTAGAAAAAGTTAAAATTTGATTTACACCTAAAAATTGTCGCTTAATGGTAAAGTGATCAATCATTACATTTTTATCGGATTAAAAGGTGACAGCCCACGGAGCCTTAGAATTCAAATGAGCATTGCAAGTGCATTCCACCAAAAATGGTACAGAAAAGGCGAGTAAAAACAATTGCGCAAAAAATAAAAATTAATGTAAAGGTTTAACGTTTCACACAACCACAAGTGAAGTTATGCAAAAACGTGTTCCTAATAAGGTTAATTGAAAGAAAGTACCAAGAATGAAGTTGTATTGCTGAAGTTGGCCATTTCTGATCTTCTTGTTGAGCGTACGACCGGGATCTACATCGATATCAGCCATGAAACCAGCATCATGGAGCTGCTCTTTTACTTTCTGTCCATATTCATCAAGTGCAGAGACAACAGGCACAACCAAAACCTGGCGCGGGTTTATCCAGAAGGGCCACTTGCCTAAAGAAACGAAGTGTTAACCAGACAAACATCGAAAATGCTGAATTCTAAATAAACTCACCCGCGAAGTGTTCTGTAAGAATGGCCATAAAGCGTTCAACTGAGCCGAGGATAGCACGATGAATGATAACGGGTCGTTTCAAAAGCGTTGCATCGCCGTCGCCATCATGAGAGTCACCCCTACACAAACAACAGTGGAGTGGCTTATAACATAATTGCGTCAGGGTAAGCACTATGGCAAAGCCTAATTTAACAACTTTCAAAAACTACTTGATAAAAAAGAGCATAATATAGCTTAAATTTTCAATATATCGATATTAGATTAAACCTGGATTTGCCAGGCTTGAGCAGTAAATAATAAAGCAAACTCAAAATTTGTTTGGCAACAAGACACTCGCCAACAACAAAGAACTTCTTCTCAAGAGCGTAAAAGTACAATCGGGAAAAAGTTAAGTGGAAGATCAGGGGGGGGGGGCATATGATAAAACTCAATACAATTCCACACTGACTTACGATTGATAATGGAGATTGAACCTTACAGGCAATTGGAAGTCTAATTGGATTGTACCGCACTGATGACGTCTTCGAAGAGCATCGAAAAGGATGACATCAATTTTAGGACCATAGAAGGCACCATCGCCTTCGTTAAGAGTCCATTTGAAACCACTAGTGTTCAAGCTATTTTCCAGTTGCTATAATTTAGATTAAAGAGTAGCCACTACTGTGGTTGAAAAGATAATCGCAATGGGAGGTGGATGAAGAAACAAACCTTTTCGGCACGATCCCACAAATCGACAGAACCCAAGAAATCTTCAGGACGTGTTGAGAGGAAGAGCTCAAATGTGAATCCAAAGATGCCGTAGATGTTTTGCAAAAACTTGAGAGCATTGTCTATTTCACTTTCGATCTGAAATTAATTTGCAAAAAAGGTCTAAGAATGGGTGCCATTTACTACCGTTGAGAAAGCTAAGTCCACAGACATTCTACCACTACTTCAATTAAGTGAAGTTCTGTCCAGGTGAAATAAGGAGAATAAGTCACAGATCCAAAGCCAAAAATACAAAGGACTGTGAACAGCTCAGGAAATCTAAGTCATAATAAAACCAACTGTAATGATGATCTGCTTAAACAACAGCGTTTTCTTAGAAAAAAACCAAAATTTCACCTCATCTCTGCTAACAAATTCATTTTTGGTCATTTGAACCACCGGTTGTAAGTAACGGTTTGGACAATGCAGAAAATACCTAACATTGAGTTACACTACTCGTTATTACAGTCTATATGGCTGGTATACAGTAAGTCCGTAGGATAAAAAATGATCAATTAATGCACGTGTTACAAAAAAGGACACCATTCATATATTTCTGCAAGCAAGAACGAAAGTTGGTTGAAATAGATTTAATTCACAAAAAGTAGTCCCTAAACATAATGCCACAATTGGTGTCACTTCAACCTTAGCAATTTCATTTAAAGACAACTTTGCTAGTATTTGTCCACAAGGTGGAAATGAGGGATAAAATTGTAACTTACCTGATCTTCACGACAGAAAATGTGAGCATCATCTTGTTGGAAACGTCGGACGCGCGTAAGACCAGTCAGTGCTCCGGAGAATTCATTTCGATGAAGAACACCGAAATCAGCATAACGCATTGGCAAGTCACGATGCGAACGAAGTTCATGTTCAAACATGAGACAGTGACCCGGACAATTCATCGGCTTCAGACCGAAAATCTTCTTTTCAATGTCAATTTTGAACATGTTTTCCTACATAAAGGGAGAACAAGACAAATGATAGCAAAAACATTATAAAATTTATATATAATAAATAAAAAATTAACAAACAGCGTAATGTTGCCAGTGGCCACTGATCTCCCACAACTTGGAATCGTAGATATTGGGAGAAATAACTTCAGTGAAACCACGTTTCCAGTATTCGCTTCGCATAAGTTCAACCAGCTTGTTATAAATATGAGCTCCAGCAGGCAAGAAGAAACACGAGCCAGGTGAAAGCTCATTAAAGAAGAAAAGTTTCTGCTCCACACCAAGTTTACGATGATCTCGCTTAGCCGCTTCCTCCTAAGAACATATAATGAAAAAACAATTATCATTGAACAACATTAGTTTCAAGTAGTTGAAACTAACTTGGAATTGTTTCCACTCCTTCATAGCTTGTTGAGAGGGGAAGGAGATACCATAAACACGTTGAAGTGGTTCAGCATCGGTTTTGCCTTCCCAGAAAGAGCAGCTGCTTTTAGTTACACTAATGGCCTTGATACAGCCTATTTAACCAAAATATTGACTTATTTCTTTCTTAATTAAAGTAGGGTAACGTATAAAAATATTTACAAACCTGTATGGCGTACATGTGGGCCAACACAGAGATCAATAAGAGTACCGCACTTGTAAACAGTGGTCTTTTCATCCTTCACGCGTTCATTAAGAATGCGAACTTTGAAATCGTTGTACGAGAACATTTTAAGGAGATCTTGTTTGGAAAGAAGCAATCGCTCAAATGGCTGTTTCTCATTCAGGATGGAATTGCACATTTTATTGAGTGCTGGGAAATCATCAGGACGTACATTTCTAAAAAAGGAAAAGCAGATAATCAAAGTTTACAACCTTGAAGTACTAGTTATTCATAGCTTAACTAAAGAAATACAACCAGATGTCGTATTCATGAAAAGCAATTACGTCTAACTTAAGGCTTCCAAGATTGATAACCTCAAGTTCAGTCTGACTCAGGTATTTCAGGAACTTGAAAATAAACAAAAAATATTAATAAGCTTACCTTCCTTCCATCCACATATCGTAGTAGAAACCCTGTTCAACTGGAGGACCGTAGCAAAGGTGACCTTGGAAAATACGTTCCATAGCTTCACCCATTACATGAGCAGAGGAATGCCAGAAGACATATTGTCCGTCTTTGTCATCGAAATTGAGGAATTGAACAGAAGCATTTCCCTCAAACGGTCTCTCAAGATCCCAGAGCTTTCCATTTACTTTAGATATGACGATGCCTTCGGCTGTTTTCTTACTGAAATAGAGAAATTAAATCGAAAAGCCATCGAAATAAAATAACGCAGTATATCATGGCATATTTACTCAATATTTCTGGCAACATCTATCGGGCGTGTTTCCCAAGCCTTGCCTTCAATAATGTTACCGTCCGGAAGTGTGATTTCGATTGGTGAGCGAGGTTGAGAAGCCACAAACTGATCATGCTCCTTCTTGAGTTTCTGCCAGAGACTTTCTCTGTGAGCTATGAACTCAGGTGGAGGCGGATTTTTAGCCTCTGAAATAGCACTAGAAAGACCACAAACAGCAGGATCCTATAAACAAAATTCGTAAAAATTTGAAACGTGATATTTAAGAAAAAATAATTTATAAATAATAATTAAAACTTACCATGGCTTTTGACGTCAGATGACGAATAAACAAAAATGCCGTAGATTTGGCACGAGAAAATGCGCACAACATACAGCGCTTTTGCGCAATTTAGGTAATTAAAACTCGCATGAAATAAAATGTACTAAGGCGATTCATTTATCTTATAATGAGGAGAGTTGAGCAAAAATTAAGCTACGAAAATGTAGTTATTAGTTAAGTAACATCAACTAAACCAAAAATAAAACGACCAATAAATAAAAATTTTGATGGTCAAAAGTTTTCTTGGAAATGATCGAGGATGGCAAAAAATTCAAAAGTATTATTATGATGCATTACATGGTTCATCAAATCTTCAACAGACTTTAAGGGGAGGGTAAGATAACCAGACCAAGTTGAGATTTCTAAGCACTATTTTCCCCAATTACTTCAAACGGAATAGACATTTCACTCGAAGATAAGGATCAATATAATATCGGGGTGGAGGAAACATGGACTTTTTATTTCGAGCAGATATTAACTGACGTATCAATAAAATAACTTCAAAATTGTTCGGCTCAGCTTGACCACTTTGTCTTTTGGCGTTAGTCAGAAAAATTGGAATGTGCAATCGTTATTGTTAGTCAGCATTTCAATGCTAATGATAGGTCGGTAAATGTAAAGCATAAAGGAGAAATACAATTGATGGAAAATGTTCTCTAGTTATGATAATATTTACATCTTGACAATATGGCGGACAAAAGGTTCCAGTATCATTCTGTTCTTATTTCCATTTGAATGAAATTCAAACTCACATATTTTTCATTTTATTTCACTTTCAAATTGCTCCTAAACAAATGCCATATGTAAATGGCTTCCATAATGTAATAATTGTTCTGTTTTATTTTAAATTTAACATGCATAGTATTTTATTATTTTGCTTCATTTTTAAATAATTTTATCACAACTATGTAGTTATTTCTAAAAGGTCAAGCTATAACCTTCACTTCCACGCCTTTTGGCTACATTGACATGGCAAAGTCTGATACGTTTTATCTGGAAGCCTCCCAGCTTTTATGTATTGCTTCCTCAAAAACTACCAGTCTGAGAAACGCTTATTTTAATCAGAAGTCTACCGTAAGATATTTAGAAATCTAATTTCTTTAGAAAAGTAAAGCTGTTTATGCTCTTGTCGCCAAGTGCTTAAGAGTGCAACCGGTTATTATTGCCGCATTAAAGGAAGTAGGTGCTCTGAAATGCAATATTTCACACATTAAATCTTCGAACTCAAACGCTTGTACTGCATGCTTATTGTCTGTTGTGGCATTTGATGTCAGTTGTCCACGGCGATCGTTTGGTTCAAGAAGGGAAGCTCTTAAACTACTACAACAGCACGGATCTTCCCATAATATAGCTTCAAGTCTTCGTAGAATCATAAAAAGTGGTGTCAAGTCAGGTGCGACCTTTTATTTGTTAATAGTTTTAGCTGGTGCCAATAAAATCGTCACCCAAAAGATTCCAGTTTATGTGCGTGTCATTGAACCAATGGATAAAATTATTGAAACTTTATCAAGTGTTGAAAGCTTTAAGCAGATTTCCTATGATCATGGAACAACGTCCTACAAAAAGTGTGTTTTCTCTTTTTTTCGTTATTCGTATTCAGGTTTATCAAACTCGTAAAGGGGCTTAAAATTGATGAATTTATAAGAGATTACCATTTCCCCTATTTATTACTACTTTTTGCACCCGGAACAGACCTTCATCTTTCTTCTATAATTACGTCTAAATTGGGTGTTATTCAGGATAAGGTAATGCGCAATCTCTTTTCGTTAATTTGTTTTTAAGGCAAGCTGCCTTCCACCTTTGGTTTTGTTGGATGCTATTAGCTTACCCCAGAACCAATCAATTACTATTTTAGACGCCTGTGCTGCTCCTGGAAACAAAACTACACTTTTACTATCAGGTTTGAAAGATTTTTCACAACGTAGCCAGGTTATTGCTCTCGATAGAGACAAACGGAGGTAAATTTTGCAATCCAAATTTCGTATCTTGTTTCAATTTCTGTAGAATTTAATTATTTAAGTTTTTTCTAGGTTTGATCAGCTTTGTAGGAACCTAAAGGGTTTTCACAAGGATATTTTATATGTGAACGATGAAGTTAAAAATCCTGAAGCACAATTTGATATCACCTGTGATACAAGATTGTGCGATTTTCTGAATATAGATCCGATGGCAGATAAGGATTTTTCTGATGTAACAGCAATTATTGTTGATCCGACTTGCACTGGCTCGGGTCTACGATCCAAGTGTCCAGAACTGATGGCTGAGAGCGAACACCAGGAGGAGACTGGTCGGGTGGATCGTTTGGCTAGTTTGCAGGCGAAAATTCTTAGACATGCTCTCTCCTTCCCATCTGTACTTGTCGTTGTTTACTCAACGTGCTCTGTCTACCAACAGGTACTTAAAAATCTCTGTATAAGCAGAGGCTATCCTGTTTTACTTTATATAATTTTTTTAAAACTTATTCTCTAGCTAAAATTGAATGTATTTTTGAATTTGGTGTCTTTCTGCTAGTAACTCTTGTGGTTATTCTTAACACTTTTGTGCCTAATTTAAACCAAAGGATTTTAGTCTAATCCAAGGTGAATCGTTTTAGATCAGCAGAAGAGTAGTTTCCATCCTAGAATTCACAACTTTTAACAATTTTAAACCAAGACGTGTTTTAGCATTTTGAGCTTAAGCAACTTAGAAAAATATGTACAACTTTTAAGATGCGTGTCTGGATGTGGAATACAGGTACTCTTAATAGACATGCAAAAATGTTTCGTGATCTTAGAAGCATTCTGTTCAAGTATGTTGACTATTTAATTTCCATCTACCAATTGTATATTAATGTTCGCAAACGACGAATCGTTTTTTTTTGTATATTCGCTTTTCCTGAGATATTTTCAGTGGCAAATGTTTTGTAAAAATGGTTGAAATGCGCGTATTGGTTGGCTATTCCTTATATTAATATCAAATTTGACGAGATCCTTCATTAGCTCTTTTAAACTTAGTGCGAAAAGGCGTGGAAATCCTAGATTCCTTCGGCCGATTTCTTTTTACTTCAAATTATTTGCTTACACCTGTGGTCAATTGTTATAGAAAGTCCTCACCGACGGGTTTCGATCTTATCTTATAGTACTCTCGTTGGACTTTATTCATTCTTGAATCCACGTTGTGGTCCGCGTTTTTCGGAATTTTCAAAAGAAAAACAACATCATAATCTTGTTGACTTGTGTCATACTCTATTACCATTTAGAGTTAATCCACTGGTGAAAGCATATGTGCTAACACTGCATATCTATTATTAATCTTTAATGGCATACATTTTAATCACAGATTTTTGTTTTGTAATCGTAATAGAGCCTGAATTATAAACTAAATTCCCGGAGTGGTGTATATAATAGACTGCATATTTATTTTTTATCGTTTTAGGAGAATGAAGGAGTTATTATGGATGTTATAAATTCCGGAGCAGCAAACGATTTTGAGCTCTTGTCAGTCTGGAGAAAGGGGAATAAGAGGGAGGAAAATGGCGCTCCGTTGAGTCGTTTTACTCCTCAGGCTCGATGGAAATCGCGAGGTCGCATTGAAGGTGTTGACGAAGATGATGATATGAATCAAATGATGTCTAGGTGTCTTCGTTCTTCCACGGAAAAGGACCTCACTATTGGATTCTTTGTTGCCTGCTTCAAGCGCAAGGAGTGATATGTACATAGATACCGGCTTTGTGAATAAAATTAATCCTTTCCATCAACTCATTATTTTTCTTCCCAATTGGAAAATGTTGAATCATCTGTTAGCTGCAAATCGATTCTGTATTTTAGATGAGTGAACAAACGAATTCATTATTAGAAAAGTCGTCTGACGACATTCCCTTAAAAAACGAAGATTCAGAAGCAAAGGTGAGTTACTTTAGGTTACATACACAATATCACTATTTAATGCTCTGCGTTTAGTATGATGATTTACTGTAATTACTTTCCATTCCTACAAAATTATCGAAAAAATGACGTTCGGTATAACGGCATAAAAACCTGTGTCCTTTAAAATGATTTGATTAAAATATGGATTCACTCCCACTAAGTTGGTCTTTTTAACCTCTGTAAATGTAAATAGTCTGTTACAAAAGTTTCGAAGTTAATCTTTCTCTTAAATTGTTTTCTGGGTGTTTTTATTTATTGCTTGACAAAATTTTGAGGCGCTTTTGCTTAGTTCTTACTGCATTCGGGATATACTTTTCATTTTTTCTTTTTCTACTGTTTATTTGTTTTGAAGATAGTCATCTTTTTTTCTTGATTCGGGGCTTCGATTACTGTAAATTCCCAGTACATTAAATATGTTATTTAATTAATATGTATATATCTGGAATAACTGCATTCCATCATTCGCTCTTAAAAGTGATCTGTTGAGTCTTGTCAATATTAACTGTTATTCAGTAAAATGTAGCTTACCTATGTTATATTTGATTGTTTATTGTAGACGGAAGATTTGCAGTCAAAAGAACAGATTAGTTCCACTGATAATGATATTTGCGGACTTCCAAGAAAGAGGCAGAAACTCTCAAAAATGGATCGTTATCGTCAGAAGAAGGAGGTAGGAAAACCATATTACTTTTTACATTGAGAGACTTGGTAACGTTAACTTGATTTCTTAAAGGAACGGAGAGAACGAAGAAAGGCAATGAGGCAGCGACGTCGGGAAAAACGGGATGCTGATCTTGCAGCAGGCAAACCTCCTCCACAACATCCTCGTCGTCAACGGGTCTCGATGACTGATTCAAGTTGTCGAACTTGCGTTGTCCTAGATTGTTCTTTCGACAACCTCATGTCCTTCAAAGATATCTGCAAATTCGCTCATCAGGTAAAAATGGTTCGCTACTAATTAAGCTAAGTAGCAAGTTATAATTTATGAATTTTCGCTGTTTTAGTTGTCGAATTGCTACTCTACAAACCGGAACCTTCCAGCCCCTGTACAGCTTTATATCACTGGCTTAGGCAGTGCTTTTGACCGGGCAGATCCAATTTCAAAAGATCTAGAGAAGAGAACTCCTAAACCAGAAAGTACACTTGCTCGGCTGAACATTGTCGATGCGAAAAACTGGGATGTTCATCTAAAAATGGTAAGACGCCTTTATGGTGCATTCACTTAATTTTGTCTAACTACTCCACTTTTGAGTTCTTTTGGGTTTATATCTCTATGCAGATTGTTACTCAATATTTCCCGAATTGGGATTAGAGTGGATCTCCAATGTCAGCTAGCCACAAAATGAACTTTAATAATAAAAGCTTTGTTTTCTCAAGGGGAAATATTTTGTAAAACATTCTCACGTTAACATAGGATTCGCTCATTGGCACTTGTATTTTTGCAGGAGAACTATACAGAACTCTTCCCGGCATCTTCAATCGTCTACCTATGTGCTGAATCACCTTACGAATTGCCGGACAAATTTGAGCCGGCAGAAACTAGTTTTTCTTCTGCTAATAAAAGCCCTGTCTTTACTGCTGATGACGTTTATGTTATTGGTGGTCTCGTGGATCATAATCACTATAATGGCCTCTGTTACGAACAAGTAAGTTCAGTTGTTTATTCCATTATTTGCGTTTCCGTTTGCTTAAGTTGACGCAGTTATCGTTTCCTCTTATTCATACTATACTGATTTTGTAACTTCGCATTTCAGCGAATTACTCTGCAAATCAATGGCTCACCAGGTAGCAAATCCTTCTTAAGATGTCTAGATTATTTTACCAATGGAGAACCATCGTTTGATTTAGTTTTCTCCCTGTGATCTGAGTAGTTGAGCTTTTTTACTAAATAAAAATTAAAGGCTTGAAATTTCGCTTTCTCTTCTCAATGAAATAAGTAGCATTACTACTTTATGATCAACATGATTAAATTCTTGACTACCGATTTGTTTGTGGACTCATGTAAATAAACATAACGTTTTATTTCTTTTCTTCCTAAGGCCTGTGAGCGCGGTTATAGGACAGCCCGCTTGCCATTAGAGCGTACAGGGATTTCAGTAGAGGGTCGCCGGGTGCTGTCACTACTACACGTATTTCAGGCCCTCGCATTTGTTCTCTCCACCGCCCATCCTGATTGGTCCTCCGCTCTGCGTGTTGCGCTTCCCCCTCGCAAAATCAACAAATTACCAAATGCCAAGACGCCCCCTTCGCCAAACAGCCAATCAAATGAGGATGAAACTGATTCTTGATTATCCTCTATTTATTAAGGAATACATTTATAACTATCTACTGAAAGTTTTGAGCTTTTAATCGCAATATGTGGATGTTTAATTTACCCTGTTTACATTGTCATGGCCCGTGGAAGAACGAACAAATTGCCAGCTTTAATCCTTGTATAGCACCTGAAAGAAAGTAAGTGGGGGAGGCGGTGGGTCCAATATTGTGTGAACGGATGAGAGTCGAGAAGATGCAGGAGATAATGTCAGGGGCCTTACGGTTCACTTAAACCTCTTCTAATAAAACTCCCATTGTCCCTTATTTTTCAGAGGTGAATAAATATTTTATTGTGCGTCTTTTCAAGCTCTTCAAACTTTTGCCTATATAAGACCATAGTTATTGTCGTTATTATCTGCACAATTGCAAAAAAATATTGCAAATTTTAATTATGCAACATAAAAAAAACGCATTAAGGACTGAAATGGGAAGTGGAAATGGCAGAATCTGCACTGTCCGGAATCTTCCTTGTTCGATTTTTAACGGTGCGATTCATGCAGCTTCTGGCAAACTTATCTCTATGATGTTCAGAGTTCAGGAGTAATAATTTTTAGGTAAACCCAAATAGTCATTCGTTCCGTTAAATAAACTTTATAGTGACTGTTGAAAAATCGTGCCCTCACTAGCTCTTCAGTTGACTTCTAGCTTCACAAAGGGGAGCAACGGACAAAGTCATAACAAGTGGAGAGGGGGGAATAAAAGTGATTCGCAGATGTAAAAGAGACAGACACAAAGGCAGAGAAAAGGGTAAGGTGAGTACTGTGAAAGTAGTCGAATATGACATACAGTGGGGTCATGATAGCTTGAACTCAGAAGTCAACTGCCGGTTTATAGACTTTTGTGACGCATGAGTATAGGTTGGCCTGAGTGCACCACGTGGAGGTAAGTCTATCGCTCACCCCACACCTCACCATAAGGTTCTGAATAATTTTCGAATTTTAAGACACTTGCCGCGAACACTTTGATGTATCTTAGGAAGTACAACCATATGGGGTAGACTGCGTATAACAAACCAGGTCATCATCCCAGATATTGGGAGAAGCATCCTAATTTTCCCACCTGCTATCTAGTTCAACGCTCGTTATCCGAAATTAAGACTTGCAAAAA